TTTCAAGTATGATGTCTTTTTCCAAGTACTCGTCCCTCCTGGATACGTGCCCAAAGTATGTGAGATAGAGCTTCAAAATCTTAGCCTCCAAGGAGAAACTTGGTTTTACTCTTTCCAAGACAGACCTATTTGTTTTCTTGGCAGTCCATGGTATGTTCAAGTCTCTCCTCCAGCACCATAACTCAAAGGCATTAATTCTTCTTTTGTCATTTTTCAGTCATTCTCCATTTCTCTGATGCATAGCAAGTAACTGTGAACACCATAGTCTGGATCAGGTGCACCTTAGTCTCTAAACTGACACCATTGTTTCTCAGTACTCTGGAGCGGTCCTTGACAGCACATTTTCCCAGTGCAATCTGTCTGTTGATTTCCTGACTGCTGGTGCCAAGAATGTTGATTGTGGAGGCAAGCAAGCTGTAATAGTTAACCACCTCAATCTCTTTATCTGTCAGGATGCTGCAAGTTGGCCCAGTGATGAGAATCTTTGTTTTCTTGATGTTGAGCTTCAATCCATATTGAAGGCTGCAGTCGTTGACCTTCTGCAGCAAGCACTTCTAATCCTCCTTAGTTTTGGCAAGCAAGGTTGTATCATCTGCATAATGTAGGTTGTTGATGAATTTTCCTCCAGTCCAGATGCCCTATTCTTACTCATAAAGCCCAGCCTCTCAAATGTTGTTGTTGATTGTCACAGAGTTGAGCACAACTCATAACAACCCTATGAACAAAAGACCTGAAGCCTTTCTATAACTATCATTTCTCAAAGTTCATAGAGCTCCCAGAGGCATGTTGTTTAGGAAGTGGATGCCACTCCTGCTTCCAAACTTGTTTTAAACTGGGAGCTCCACCAAACGCTGTCCACTGTGGGTAATGGTCATGCCATTTGATGCCCCAATGGCACAAAGTTTAGCATCATAGCAACTCCAGGTTACCTCAGCACAACATATTGACAGAAGAATGCTGTACCACTTAAAAGAATCATCCTCCAAAACATATTAACAGCTAACTTTTAAATACTTGTAAAAATAAAGAATGCTATATGAATTTGCATGTAGTCCTTGCACAGGGGCCATGCTAATCTTCTCTGAATCATTCCAATTTTAGTATATGTGCTGCTGAAGCATGCACCCCAAATGATAGATGGACAAAACACTATAATATATGGAGAAAAGTTTGAAGTTGCCAATGATTTAATCTTGTTTGGATTAACTATCAACATCCTTTGTACCAGAAGTCAGGAAATAAGGAGACATATTGCATTGGGCAAGTTTCCTGTCAGGGATCTTTCCAAAATGCTGAGGAGCAATGATGTTAGTTTGAAGACTAAGGTGTGACTAATTCAGGCCATGGTCTTCTCAATCACCTGCTATGCATCTGAGAGCTGGAAAATAATTAAGGATGACAGAAGAAAAATTGATGCCTTTAAGTTGTGGTGAAGAAAATCCCATGAATATCCCATGAACCGTCAAAAGAACAAACAGATTCTTTTGTCCTGGAAAAAGTACAGAAAGAATGCTCCTTAGGAGCAAAGATGGTGAAGCTTTGTCTTTCATATTTTGGACATGTAGCTAGGGAAGGCTATTCCTGGGACAGAGACATCATGCTTGGAGAGATGAAGCATCAGGGAAGGAGAGGAAGGCCATCGATGAGATGGATTGGCTTGGTGACTGCATCTGTTGTGTCAGAGTTGATGAGGATGGCACAAGTCAGCTGTTCATAGGTTGCTATAAGTCATACTCGATTCGATGACACTTAACAAGAACAACAAGGTAAACAATAAGTAATACATCTCCTGATTGGCATCATTGTAAGTGCTATAAGAAATGTAGGAAATGTTATGAGGATTTAGTAGAGGGAATGTATAATGAAGAAAGGCTTATTGGAAGAAAGAGCTCTATTAAGAACTTTGATCCACCAGATGCTCTGCTAGAGAAGGAGGGACAATCTCCTGTATCAGTCAGATCTGATTTGATGGTACACACACATACACACACAAATAATAAAATAAATTTAAAAAAAAGAGCTTTGAAGGATGATTAAGGTTTTGAGGAATGAGTAAGGAAAACTGAAGACAAATCAATGCCTTTGAATTATAGTGTTTTGCAAACAGTATTGAATATATCTGGACTGTCAAAAGAACAAACAAATCTGTCTTGGGGGGAAAGAAGTACAACCAGGGTGCTCCATAAAAGAAAGGATGGTAAAACTTTTTTCCACATACTTTGAGCATGTTTCTAGGAGCTGTCAGTCCTTGGGAACAGGTATCTTGCTCAGAGAGGTGGAGGATCAGAAAGAGAGACAAAGCCCTCAATGAGATAGAATGATACAATGACTTGTATCAATGAATAATGAGCTTGCGCATGTCAAAGATGGTGAGAATAGGGTAGGATAGGGCAAGGTTTTGATCTGTTGTCCATAGGGTCACTATGAGTCAGAGTGGGCTTGATGCCACCTAACAACAACAGATATATTGATGTCCTAATCTCTAATCCTGTGAATGTGGTCTTGTTTGGGAACAGTCACTGAAGATGTTATTAGTTAACATGAGGTAATTCAGCCGTAAGGCATACCTACTCCTGAGTGGTGTCCTTATTAAAGAGAAGTGATGTAGAGAGAAACACAGTGTGAAGGTTGTCCTGTGAAGATTCACAAGTCAGGGAATGCTAAGACATGCCTGGGACTACCAGGAGAGACCAGAAGGGATTTTCCTCTAGAGCCTTCAGAGAGAACCTGGCCCTGCCAACATCCTGAATTCAGATAACTAGCCTCTAGAACTAAATGTGACAATACATTTCTGTCCTTCAAAGCCACCCAATTTGTGATAGTTTGTTACAGCATCTCTAGGAAACCAATACAAACATGTACCAGGTTATGCATCAGACCACGTCTTGCTTTTTCAGAGGGTAAGAATTATTTCCAATGATTCCCTTTCTCCCAATAATGGCACTCACCCATGGTCTAATCATGTGTACATATAATAAGCCTTTCATTTGAAGCTCAAATTGAATACTTTGCTTATGATAGTCTAACCTTGCTTTAGATCAGCAGTTCCTCTGTTTTTTTTTTTTAAACACTCTTTTTTTATTTCATTATTTTTTGTGTGTACCGTCAAATCAGATCTGACTGGTACAGGAGGACATCGTTCCTCCTTCTCGAGCAGAGCATCTGGTGGATTTGAACTGTGCACCTCTGAACTTGCAGTTGCAGCTTCTTGCCACTAGGCCACCAGAGCTCGCCAGCAGTTCCTCTGTTGTTAAAGAATTTGCCTTAGGTAATTTATTGGATCCCAGGAAATGAACACCTGATTGTGCTCATGTGAAACATACTTGGACGAGGAAGCAGTCATCAGAACAGAGCAAGGAAACACCGCATAGTTCAAAATTAGAAAAGGAGTGCGTCAAGGATATGTCCTGTCTCCATACCTTTCCAGTCTATATTCAGAACAGATCATCTGGGATGCTGACACAACCCTGGCTGAAACTGAGGAGGTCCTGTATGAAGCACTTGCTGCAGAAGGTCAAAGACTGCATGCAGCCTTAAACATGGATTGAAGCTCAACATCAGGAAAACAAAAATTCTTACCATGAGGCCAGTTGGCAACATCAAGATAAATGGAGAAAAGATTGAGATTGTTAACAATTTCAGCTTGCTTGTTTCCACAATTAACACTGTTGGAACCAACAGCCAGGAAATCAAAAGATGGATTAGGAAACTCAGGAACCACTACAGAGTGTTGAAGTGCAAAGATGTCGGTCTAGAGACCAAGGTGCACCTGATCCAGGTTGTGGTCTTCACAATTACTTGCTGTGCATCAAAGAGCTAGACAATGAATAAGGATAACAAAAGAACTGGTCTGTTCTGGAGAGTGTGAAACAAACTTGCTCTCCCGGAGGCAAGGATTTTAAAACTCTGTTTCATATACTTTAGGCATGTTGCCACGAGGGACCAGCCCTTGGAGAAGGACATCATGCTTGGAAGAGTGGAAGGACAACGCAGGAGAGGAATACCCTTGATGGGATGGATTGACATAGTGATTGGGGTAATAAAGGCAGGTGTGTCGGAGACAGTGAGACTGGCTCAGGACAGGGCAGGCTTCAGAGCTGTTGTACATACGGTCGCTATAAATCACAGGCAATTCAACAGCCAACAACAACAGCAATAACAACAACAAAATTTCTTGGAAAAATTTTAAGCATTTTTGGTGGAATCATAAACATCCTTAGCGCAATCCTGTCATTAGGTCTCACTGAGACCTAAGTTAAGGAGCTCTGGTGGCTCACTGGCAAGGAATTGCTTTGCCAACACAAAGGTATCTGGTTTGAATCCACCAGCTGCTCGGCAGGAAGAATGATGAGTCAGCTAACAAGGCCTAAGTCGCAGTGAGTCAGGAAGGGGTTTGACCACTGCGTGCCCACTCTTTTTAATGCTTTTAAATCTGGTCACTAACCCAGGTATCAACAATTAACGCCAGAAAGCCCTCTTCTCTCAATCTTCCATTACTCCTTTCTTCAATCTCTGGGGACTGAATCCCTCGGAATTTAAACATCAGCTCCCAAGGCACAGATTCAAAATAGATAAAAGCGACACCTTCCCAGTTTCCGCGTGTCATGTGCAGCCACAAACAGAAGCACGAGATTTTCAATTTCGAGCAAGCAGTTGGAAGGACCTTCAAGCCCAGAGGCCCCTGAAGGGAGGGAGGCGGTTTCCACGGCAACCGGGCCCTGGAGCGGTTGGTTCCCGGGCTGCCTCCTCCTCCCGGTAGCCCAGGGTACCGCCGGACAGCGTCCTCCCGTGCTCCGCGCGCTGATTGGCCGCCCGGGCCACGCGCTGATTGGCTGCGGCCGATGCCTCGCGGACCGTTGGCAATGGAGGCGGCGGTGGTTGATGGTTGACCGTTGGCTCCGGGGCTGGGGTCGCTGCTCAGGCGAGCCTCAGAGCCGACTGACTAGACTGCGCGGGCTGCTGCCGCTTGTTCTAAGCCCCACCGGCGTGACCGCGTTCGCTTCAGCCATGCCGGCCGGGACTAACGAGTCGGACGGCGTCCTCAGCTATCAGGTAGGGCCCCGCCTCCCGCCCCTCCCCGGGGCTCAGCCTCTTCATCCTCTGCCCACCCTCTTCGTTCTGCCCCCGAAGCTGGGCTCGTCAGGCCACTCCCTGAGGGCGAGGGGAAGCCGGCCCGCGACGCCAGGGGGCGCTTCGGGCGGCTGGGGGTCGAGCCGGGGCCGGGAGGATGACCTTGGGCTGAACCTGGCAGTCAGCGGGCGCTGCAGCATCTCGTGCATCGCCCAGGAGCTCTGTTGGCTGACGACTGGCCGTGACCTCAGTCTCCCCGGGTCCTCTTTGTCGGGAGAGGCCGACTAGAACCCAGCTCTGCTGGAGCGGGGGTCCCTTCTTTGTGTGTTTATTTCTGAGCGCTTCTGCTCTGCCAGCGGTTCAGAGGAAGAGCTGGGAAGACTGGAGACTGGGACCACATTCCGTTCATGTAGCCCAGCTGTGCGACTCCTTTCACCCCATTGCACACACCTGGCAAGTTCTGGGGAGGGAAGCAGAGCTGGGCTGCGGTTAGGAACAGATGTATTTGTTTAGGAGAATGAGGACACCAGGCAACTGATAACCGAACTGTTGAGGTGGCTAATATGACGCAAAGCTTTGGACCAGGTGGCAGAGTCTGTGGGTTCAGATCTCACATTTGCTTTGCACGGGTTTTATGACCTTGAGTAAGTCACTTGCCTCCTTGAAACCTCAGTTTCTCCATCTATTAAAATGTGAATGATGACATCTATCTTGCCACATTCATGAGTTTCTTTTGAGGATCAAACTGAGGTGATATCTGTGAAATAATGTTCACTCTGTAACAGACAGCGTGTGAGTTGTAGCTCATTGAATTCTCACTCCCCATTTTCTGTGCCATCAGAGGCCCTAGGGGGGCGAGGGAAAGAGCTTGAAGGTTGGTCACTTCTGAAGTGGATGACTGTGAAGAGAATAGGCTGTTTTAGGAAAGATGAAACAAGTGCCATGTTGTGGAATAGTTGCTAGAAGTGGACAGGGTTGTAAAAACACCGAGTTTTTGCCAAAAGGTACCAGACACTATTCTCTACTTCCTGGTGACAGTTTTTACTGAAAGATCTATAGTGTTTTTCATTGCTTTCTTGGTCAAAAAAGGAATTATATTTAAAGTGTTAGAAAATTTTGCTATATCTGGTCCTCAATATTTGCTGAGGGCCTAAGGATCTCTGTTGGGAATACAATAATAAACAGAAATAGCCAATATTCTTGCCCTCCTGTAGTTTACTATCTATTTGGAAAGAAATTACTATTTTAAATAATATCATTCTAGTAAATCTGTTATTATAGACTATGGTAAGTGCTTTGGAAGAAAGTGCTGTAAGCATAGATAAATGATGGTTCTGTCCTTGGTCTCAGATTAAGGACGATTTTACTAAGGAAAATTTGGGCAAAGATCTAATGTATCAGCTGAGGTCTGTGAATTTAGAGGCAAAGAGAACAACACTACGTGCAAAGATCCTGTGGCAGAAATGGGCAAGTGTGGTTAGAAGGTCTGAAAGAAGGCCAAAGTATCTGGAGTCACAGAAAGCAGTGAAAAGAGCACTGTGGATTCACATGTAAAACTTGTAGCTCAGTTTGAGGAAGGTGATACTTAGGGAGCAAGGAGAAGCTGCTAAATGGGTTTATTCAGGCAGAAGAAGGAAGAAAAGAAAGGGAGAGAATATGAAAGATCATGATCAGGTTTTCTTACTGAATGATTTCTGTGTCTGTAATGGGGGGGGGAAAGATTGGAGGTTACCATCCTTAACATGCAGAATGTGTGCAGATGTTATTGATGACATAATAGCCCTCAGCCTTTTCAGTGTTCTGTATAATTATAATAACCCCTGAATGCTTCTGATCCAGGACAGAAAATAATTCTCCCCCTTACTTGCAGTTGGTAAAACCTTCTTGAGTTGGTGGAGTGAGGAGAAGGAAAGAGATAGAATGGATCAGTAATACTACTTGAAGCATGGATTCAGGTGTGAGTAAATGGAAACTTGAGATATAGAGATGAAAAGAGAATGATATGCTAGAGTTGAGGATCTTCCTCTCTTTCCCTGGCTCTCCATCTTCCCAGATGTTAGCTATAAAAAAAGAGCACAAGGGCGTGAGGGAGAGAAATTAAGAAAGGAATTGGTCCCAAGAAACCAGCAGGCCTTTATTGTGCAGTCTGAGAGGGATACCAAGTGACCGAGCTTCATGGCATGCAGACAGGATCAAAATGGTCCGCCTGCAGTTTGGGGGTTTCCTTTTTATAGGGGTCCTGGGGAGGACTAAGAAGGTACTTCTTGGAATTTGGCGTGCTAAGTTTTAGCTTTTTTAATCAAGCTCAGACACTTCTCAGGATCCATTGTCTGGTCTGGTCTTTGATATGACCAGCTTAGGTGTTAACAAGTTTCTCAGGAAGTGATCAAGCTTGGGGGTGGTGGGGCAACTGCCATATTCTTCCTTCACCAGCATGATGGCTTTTCCCAAGGACTGCCCCCTTCAGACAATATACTCAAAGTATGTTAGATTTAAGAATGAAATTTAACCATTTTTATCTCTAAGGAGCATAGGCATGTAGAAAGGATATGAACACCTTTCTTGACTTTAAACTATTCATTCAGTACTCCCTGTTCTGTTTAATCAGTTGCTTCTTGGTTTATATGTAGGTTTCTTTTTTTATTTTATTGTGTGTGTACCTTCAGATCAGATCTGACTGGCACAGGAGGAGATTGCCCCTCCTTCTCTAGCGGAGCATCTGGTGGATTTAAACTGTGCACCTTCAGGATTGCAGCACAACTTCTTGCCATTAGGCCACCAGAGCTCCTGGTTTATATATAGGTTTCTTATGAGCACAATTAAATGTTTTGGGATTCCCATTCTTTACACTGTTAGCTATACTTTGTTATGATCTACACAGTCAAATGCCTTTTCATAGTCAATGAAACACAAGTAAACATTTTTCCAGTAGTCTATGCTTTCAGCCAAGATCCATCTCATACCAGCAATGATGTGTCCTCTTTGGAATCCAGCTTAAATTTCTGGTAGTTCTCCCTTGATGTACTATTCCAACTGCTTGAAAATGACCAATGCTTTGGTGGCATCTTTCAAAGAACTTCTTGCTGCTAACCTAAAGGCCTTGCCTGTCTGGAGGTTCAAATCTATGAGTGACTCTGAAGGAGAAAGGTGGGGAATCTCTTCCTATACAATTTACAAGTTGAGAAACTGTAGTATCACCTATTAGTTGATTCTGACTCAACAGCCATGACTTTGATTTTTCACTCTTCTGTGCCCAGCTAGGCTTGTGAAGTAAGCAGATTGTGTACCTTAAAGTAGAGAGGGAAATTCCAGACATATCATCTAAATAGAAAGATACCCAATGCCTTTTTCTCCCCCAGTTTGAGTTCCTAGTCTATTCACCACATAACAAGAAGGAGCTTCTGCAAACACAAATCAGATATAATATCTTTTCTTGAAACTCTTCAGAACCTTCCTATTGCACTTTAGAATCAAATCCTAATTCCTTATTAGGACTTACTAAACTTATCTTTCCCACCTCCTTAACCATGTGTCTTACCATGCACTGCTGTGCTTCAGGACCTTTGTTGGTCTCTCTATCTAAGGTACTCTTATCCAGGCCTTCTCATGGCCCAACTTTAATATAATTTTTTGGAAGTGGCTTTCCTTGACCCCCACCTCCAAGTACCCTTTCATCTGGTCCTTTTATTATAGTTGTTAATAGCACCTTAACTTGTTTAAATGTTACTGTTTTGATTTCTTTTAAATTATCTGCTTGAATATAAGTTTCATGGAAACAGAGTCTAGGCAGAAAACTTTGTGTCTAGCAAAGTATTTAATATAAAAGACCAGTACTCAATTGCATGAATAAATAAATGACTTTCCCATATTCAAAGTCAAGGTGCTTCTCCTTGGGAACTTATGATCTAGACAGGCTTATCACAGAGCCAACAGATGGCCATTTCTTGATTATGCAGAACTTTCCTTTCTATGCTGCCATACAGCAGCATAGAAATACAGCCTTCAGTGTGGATTACATCCCAATGTCAAGAAAACAAACATTCTTACCACCGGACCTATAGGAAACATCATGATGGATGGAGAGGAGATTGAAACTGTCAACAGCTTCGTCTTACTTGGATCCACAATTTACACCCTTGGTACGAGCAATCAGGCAATGTGGAGATGCATTGCACTGGGAAAATCTGCAGTTAGGGGCCTTTCTAAATTATTGAGGAGTAGTGATGTGAGTTTGAAGACTAAGGTGCATCTGATTCAGGCCATGGTCTTTCTGATTACTAGCTATGCATCTAAGACCTGGACAATGAATAAGGATGACAGAGAAAGAATTGATACTTTTGAGCTGTGGTGTTGGAGAAGAGCACTGAAAATCCCATGGATGGCCAAGAAAATGTCTTGGAGAGGGTACAACCAGAGTCCTCTTTGGAAATGAGAATGAAGTTTTTCCTCACATTCTTTGGACATGTTGCTAGGAGGTGATATTCTTTGGAGAAGGACATGACACTGGGAAGGGTAGAGGGTCAGTGAAGGTGAGGAAGACTCTCGACCAGAGGGACAGATACAGTGACTGCTGCAATGGGCTTTTGTGTGTCAGGAAATGTGAGGATGGCACAAGATAGAAAAGGGTTCAGATCTTTTGTTCATAGGGTTGCAATGAGTCATGCTTGACTCAATGGCATCTAACAAGAACATGAACACAATAACCCTCTGGGATTTCCAAGTATGTACATCTTTACAGAAACAGAGTACCAAAGCTTTCAAAGCTCCTGTGGTGCTCCTGGTAGATTTGAACTGCCTAATTTTGGGTAGAAGCCTAGCACTCAATCTCTGTGCAACCAGCACTCCTTTTTCGACTCACAGTATCCACCAAGTGTTTTCACTCTTCTTGCCCCTTACTTATGAAATACACCTAGTTGTCCCTGTTGATAACCTGAAAACTTTGTTACTGTTTACCTTTTGTTGAGTGCTTATTTATGTATGTT